GTAGAGGCTTCCGCCGGTGGGCGGGACTGCAGGAAAGAAGGGGGAGCTCGGGGCGGAGGAGGGAAACCGCTGTCGCCCGGCTCGCCTGCGGAGGGCCCTGTCCTCCAAGGGGCGCTGCTGAGCCGCCTCTGCTCCCGGCCCCGGCCCCCGCAGTCGGTTCTTCAGCGGGGCCAGGAGGTGTTGGCTGGGCGGCGGCGGCGGCCTTTCCCGGACTGGGCACCGGCTTGCACCTGCTGGTGTCGGCCGGGAGGCTAGTACGTAACAGACGGTTCTACCCAACTGGGCGGTGGTGCGGCCCGCGCCGCGCTGAGGTCAGACTGGCGGGGCTGGGCGCCCGGCAGAGCCTCTCGGGCCGAAGGGACTGCGGAGGAGCGGGGCGGACGACGGGGCGTGTTTCCAGACCCAACAGCGCGCACTGCCGGGCCTCACGCAGCGGCCGACTCGGTGTGTCTGTGGTGCCCACGCACCGCGTTCGGTTTTGTTTTGAAGATTTGTTTTCTTGACCCTTCGGCATTCGGGGGTGGGGCTTCGATGGGAGAGGGAAACACCGATTGGTTGCCTCGCCTGCGCTCGGGGCGTGGCACCTGCCCCCTCGGCGCTCCGGGATCCGAACCGGCCGCCCGCCGGTGCACCCGAGGACGCTCCGGCGACTGCGCCACCCGGCCGGGCCCAAGCTGCGCTCCTAACGAGCTCCTCGAGGTGGGACAAGCTCGGCCGGCGGTCAGCGGACCACATTTAAAGCGACGCTGATCTAGACCCTCGTCGCAACTCCTGCAGCTAACGCTGACCGACTCTTCAAGGCTGACATGCAAACTCGGCTGTATTTGCGGGGAGGAGATTTGGCTAGTGAGTGGTCCGAAGACCCGAGTTCTAGCCCCTGCATTAACATGAACGTCTAGGGCCAGGAGTGTCGCATCCCCCCTCTAAGATCCCATTTCCCCCACTGCAGATGAGGATTTGCACTGGATCCGTTTTCCCAGCCAAAGCCCTGAGAGCTTCTGACAAGCACCCTCTGAGATACTGATTGATGTGCTGTACGATTTTCTGTGTCGGCAACGGCATGAAAAAGATTGGGAAGACCTAAAGATATCATAAGGACCCTTCCTGCTTTTACATTAGTTACTTCAAAGACAGCCATCTCTTAAAAGAGCCTTTCCTCTGTTGGATAGCTGTAACTGTTAGGAAAATTCTTACCTGTGCAATATGGAGCTGAGAGTCTACTTCCTTTCTGTAGCTTTGAAACATTGGGCCTTTGATGCTAGAAAGGACTAAGCTCACTTCTTGTTTTAAGTGATAAGGAGCTGTCACCACTTCCCTTTTCATACTCTCAGGGTTGAAAGGGACCTTCCAGATCATCTTTTCAAACCTCCCATCCTGTCAGTACCCCCCCCCCCC